GGCGGCCGCGGCCCCGGGTCTCTCTAGCTCCCCGGTTCCGGCGCCGCCATCTTCCCCGGGACCAACGAGTCGCCCGCGCAGCGCGGCCGCTTCCCAGAGGCTTCTGGGACGGCGGCGACTCCGCCCCTCTTCCGGGATATTTGCATATGGGACTTTACAGCGTCCCAGCAGCCACCTGAGTTATATTCGGTGGAACAATGAACACTCCCTCAGTTTCAGTGAATGATCGCATTTGATCGCACTATATGTTGTAGGAATCTAGGAGAAAGATGGGTCGCTGACTCCTTTTAAAAGAATTCACCCTTTGTGTAAAGGCATTTTTTTGGGGCACTATAAATACCCTTCGGCTGGGCCATGGGTTCGTGCTCGCTTCGGCAGCACATATACTAAAATTGGAACGATACAGAGAAGATTAGCATGGCCCCTGCGCAAGGATGACACGCAAATTCGTGAAGCGTTCCATATTTTGCTGCTCTACTCTGGACTCTCCCGAGCAGGGAAACTGAGGCTCCACAAGTGAAGCGACTCTCCCTTTGGAGGCCCTTCCCCGATTTTCAGGTCCTCCCGCGGGCTGCAGGGGAGGGCAGGAGGCTTCGGGCCGGGGCACCCCGCGGGCAGGGGGAAAGGGTCCTCGTGCAAGTGGCTGCACCCTCTGGGACCACGGGCCTCCGGCGTCCGTGCCAGCCACGTGGACTTCCGCGATTTAGTGTCTGCCCTTAAAACTCTTAGGATGCCTGTTAAACGGGCCCCCGCACACCCAAGCGCCCAGACCTGGCCCGAGAGAAGGAACCAGGCTCCGTGCAGAAACACACAGGCCTAGCTGGAGCATCCCGGGGCTCGTGTATAAAAACCCCACAACGATGGGGGTGCCTCAGAGAGACCCAAGGCTGCGAGGGCCAAACCTGGACCGTGACCGGGATAAATAATACCGGATGGCCCACCGAACTAGAAAGTAAATCTTCATGTGTCCCAAATGGTTGCATAAGTGAACGCCTGGGGGAGAAGAGACAAATGTCCCTGCAGCATTCTCAATAATTAACATAGATTTTCTGTCCTCAGGGAGGTGGTTCCCAGCCCCCAGTCCTCTGTGTGGGGGGCACGCAGTAACGCCTTCCGGCCAGGATAGCGTGGAGGGGGAGGAGCTTCCCAGTGTGGAGCCCCACCAGCACCCCCAGCCGGGAGACCAGGGTCAGTGTCAGCAGTGAGGAGCCTCGTGGGCAGCGGGGCCCCCAATGTGATGGCACCAGCGAGACACTTCCCTCAGCGTCTGAACCCCCCGCTGGGTTCATCCTGCAGGACACTGGGCCAATCCCGGACACACACAGGGAGGCCACGTGAAGACGCAGGCAGGGGCTGGAATGAGGTGGCCACAGGCCAAGGAATGCCAGGGACCCCCAGAAGCTCGAAGAGGCAAGAAGGCCCCTCCCCTGGAGCTTCACAGCCCTGCCGCAGGTTGGGTTTCGACTCCGGCTTCCAGGACTGGGAGACAAGAAATTCCTGTGGTTTTAAGCCACAGCTGGGGTTACTTTGTCCTGGCCACCCCAGGACGATCACACAAGTGACTTTTTGGACGGTGGGCAGCTGGGAAATGGTGGAGCTGGGGTTGGAACGTGGGCACCTGGGAAGGGCACGAGCCAGGCGGCAGAACCAGCGGCCTCTCCCTACACGCCTCCTCAGTGTAAGGCTTCATCCCCAGGCCTTCGGCCCTCAGCGACGACTGAGACTCCACACATCCTGAGCACCTCTGTGCACCTGCCCCCCCCCCC